ATAACACACACACACACACACACACACACACACACACACACACACACACATATTGTGTGTGTGTGTGTGTGTAAAATGTCGAATATCGGTGGGGATACCTCGAAATCAGGCGGTTATAACTTTACGCTGGGTTCCTTCTTCATACCTATGAGACATGTTTATGGTTGCCGCTTACGCATTTACATAAACATACACGCAACGTTCTTTAAACGCACACACAAAGGGTCCACACGCCGCGTTGTGGAGCCTGTGGTAGGACCAGTCTAAAGAATCGTCGATATGATCAACCGCGTTTTCCCGCAGCGCGTTCGCACGCTACGGGGTCTCTTTCCATCAAGACACTTTATATCACGATTATACATGCTTACTGCTGGCACTGTGTGCGGCGGCCTTTAAGGCCACACTGTTAACGCACACACCGAAACCGGACACGCGAGAAGGAGCACGTGCACGCACGCAACGTGCGAATAGTTCGGTTACAAGGCAAGATGCTCGATGTACGAGAACCGACCTTTCTCCTTTTCCTCTCCTTTTTTTTTTCTTTTTCGATAGCGCTCGGCGCCGAACGTTTTATCAGCTGAGACGCTTAAAAACAGCACCGCATGCTCGAGGTGCTTATGTAAAATTTATGCGTGCGCAACGACACATGCTCCTTGTCTCTCCTACATGTCCCGCGAAACGTTTCTCCGCGCGTTGAGCATCTCTCTCACTTTTTGCTTGTCCCTTTCGCGGTGTCGGTGATAGCGCGCGCGCGCGCGCGTGAGTGAGAGTGAAGTTAGTTAAATACCCTCTCGTGTCGAGCTCCCCCTCTCTTCCGTCAACCCGCCGTGTCCCCTTTCTCTCCCCTCTGCCCCGCGCGAGGAATGGCGCTCGGGCATTTAGAGAACGAAAACAGAGGGAAAAGAAAGGAAAGAAAAAAAAAGGGGGGGGGGAAACAAAAGGGAATGGACTACAAAGATGGACGTATGACTCTCTCCCACGTAGCGGACTCCCCGTATTTATAGTTCTCCGTTTCACGTATGTACATTGCACCTGAGGTGGCGGATTGCATCGGCGATGCATAAATACGCGATAGTGCGTGCGTGCGTGCGTGCGTGCGTGCGTGCGTGCGTGATGTGCGCGTGCGCGCGCGAGTCGTGTAACGGGTGTACGTAACGCTCGCGCGCATTGTTACACGCGTACACTAAAATAAACGAACATATGTACAAAACGACGAGCGAAAGAAAGAGAGAGGATGGGGGAGGGAGAAGGGGGGGGAGCAAGGAGGAGAGAAAGAAGCTGGACTACGTGTGGTGGCCACGACACCACCTCCTACTCCTCCTGTCCCGATTGAGCTCCTCGCGATTTGGCTGTCTTATCTCTTCTTCAGGATTACTTGGGCTCCGCTTTCTTCTCTTCTGTTTTCCCCCCATCGTCGTGGCCGACGATCCTCCGCACTAGCGATATATTTATATGTTTGCCTTTAATTAAGCAACGTCGCGATAACAACGGCGACAAATCGATGTCGCGTCGCTCAATCAGAGAAGGTACAGTTGGGTTTGTTATGCTCGTTGCGAGAGAGAAAGAGAGCTGTGCGATCGTTGCATCTTTCTCGCAATTGCAATTTGCAGCTGTTATTCCCGATAAGCGATTTCATTTGTTTTTTTTTTTTTTTTCTTGTTTTTCTAGGAGGCGGATCTCGGTTTATGGAGGATGGCGAGTACAATGACCGCCGGCGAGAAATTGTATTTTGTAATAAAGGATGTATATACGCTCGCACTGGAGTATTGCGTAAGTCCGTTTTTTTTTTTTTTTTTCCTTGCGGATCCCGATCGCGATCACAATGCAATCGGGTAACGCGACACGGAGAGGCGTAACGCGTAATGTAATGTGCGGCCACGCGTGTAACGGCCACGCTTCTGTTTTAACAGGCGGTTTCGCTTTGCGAGTGAAGGCTCTTTTACCCTTAGCTACCAATTAATGGCCCGCGAAGCCACCGAATACGATGACCGTTTAAGCACGCGAGGGACAAAGACAGTCTTCAGTACGGATTATTGTTTGGCGGCTTTACGGTAATAGCAGCGCGTAAATTTTATAAACGTAAATATTTACTTGCATAATTATCGACAAATATCACTATGACTATTCTCTCTTTCTCTCTCACGGTTGAAGAAATCTCTGATCAATGCTTATATTATACATAATCTAATACATAGTTTATTAATTATGATGTTTCCATTAAACTCGTTAGTTAATACATAAACCATTATGTAAATTCAATTAGTTGCAAATAATTAAGTATAAACTTAGATAATTTTAGATAATCTAAAATTAATATTTTTACTCGACGTATTATCTCCGTCTATTCATCATTTCTATTATAAAAAATGATTAATGATTATTTTCAGCGAACAAGGTACAACTGCTATGTAACGTAAGAGTAACATGTGATATAATATATGTTACACTTTAGTTATAGTTAATATTATATCTTGCTTTGTATGCACAGATTATCTAAATTATCTAAATTATGAAAGTTACATTTTTTGTTTTTTATAAAATAATACGTTAAAACAACATAACGTAAATATAACATATATAAAAATATTATATCTAAATTATTTTGATTAATAAAATTATATAACATGTTGAACTAAATGCAGTGACAATATGCGATACTGCCATCAGATGAACGGAAGATTATTCTTTTAAAATTATTTCTTGAAAGTAAAAAATATATATTATACATGAATAAATCAAATAAGAGGTACAATATTGTGAAATTTTTGCGTATTTTTATGCGTATTTTATGCGTATTTAATCAATTTTATGACTCATTCTAGTGAGAAGATTCCTCAAAAATCCCAAATTAAGGAGCGAAAGTAAGCAAAATATATTTTTGACAGTACAAATTTTGCTTAGTTTTATTGAAAATTAATTAATCCGTTGTTCTTGAGAGATTGAGAGATGTAATAATAATTTACATTCCAGTTGTATAACATTTTAGCGATTTATATAACTAAAATATTTTTTTCTATAACATTTTAGTTGCATATTTCAGTAGAAGATTACTATCATGTATATTAATACATATACATTATATTGCATGTTACATTCCAGCAATGTCGCTATTATGTATTTGTGTGCGTTGCGAAATTATGATGATATATTTTCACAATGCTTAGATACATATATACTTGCTTATTTTAAAGTATAAAAGATATAAGTATAAATTAAAAATAGATTTAT